CTCGTAGAGTGAGTAAATTGGATCTAGTTCGATGCACCGGTTGATCGAATCTGCCGTGGAGTATCATGCTCCCAGGAATTCTCTTCCGTGTCGCGTGTCTTCGTATGCCAAAATTTTTGCGTTTTCCAGATTGATTTTGTGGCCTTCTTGGTCCTTGTGTATAGATATCAAGGACAGGGGGTTAGTCTCTTGACAGCCGCGTTGCCTTCCTTTATCCGTGTACATAGTTTCCTCCCAGTATGTCCAACGTAGAATTTGTTGCAGTTGTTGCAGTTGATTTGGTATATCACATTGTCCCACTTGATTTGTCCAGGTTGTGCTTTGGTCTAGAGATTAATTTCCTTAGAGTGGCATTGGATTTGTGGGCCATGAAGATTCCTTTTTGAGCCAATAATCTGGTTGCGAGTTCCGATATTTTCTTGATGTAAGGTAGGACTACCCGTCCCTCGCACGGAAAACCACAGCAGAACTGCTTCGGAATAATCCAAACACGACAGAAGCCATGAAACCTGAAAGTATATGCAAACTGTTGGACTTTTGCATGGATACAAACTTTGCCTTCGATTGACAAATATATCAACAGCTGAGAGGAACTACAATGGAATCCCCAATATCAGGATCCATTGCTGAGGCGTTAATGCAAAGGCTGGAGCGTGCGGTACTGCCGATCATCAATCCAAAGCTTTGGGTCCGCTACATGAACGACACCTCTGTCATCATGAAACGGGATACAGTACACGAGGCACATGAACTGCGCAGCACAACGTTTGAAGATATCAAGTTTACAATCGAATTGGAAAGAAACAATCGGATATCATTCTTAGACGTCTTAGTGAACAGAAAGATGGATGGGAGTCTGGAAACCTGCGTATACCGCAAAGATACTCGTACGGATCAAATACTGAACCACAAAAAGAGCTGAAGGAGCTTTTGTGCATAGAATGCATTTGAAGGATAGCATAAACGAAACATTCGTCCGGCCGAATCTCGGGACGACACAAACCTACTTTTAAAAGGAATATATTTTGCCCAAAGTGAAAACAACCAACCCGTCTGGATCCAGTAATTTTCCAGCGGTTCCAAATAAAATCAGTAAAAACTACTTTTACTGTATTCTCCAAGTTGTGTTTACGATAGTTTTCCTGGACACATTCCAGATCATCGATAGATTTCACATAATTTTGGACAGAATAGCCTCAACTGTTTCACGGAAGCTGTAATTCTAGAAGCTTGTGACGAACCAGCATATTGAACTGAAAATAACTTTATCCCACTATTTTGTTTCGTCTTATATTGTAATGAAAGCTGAGTCTGCATTGGTCATGTGACCGTGTATCAGCAGTTCCCTAGGGCTAGCTCCCGGAAAAGTGTTCTATCCACCGATTATTTCGGGAGGCCAACTGGGAGCTGGGGAGTTAAAACAGGGTTCGAGTCGGCGCAAGTAACGGCTTGCTATTGAAATCGATGAAGTGACATGACATTGGATATTTCACATCACATGGTACATTTCCAGTAGTTCCACAAAAGTCAGCGGATAAGTGACAGGGTACGTGGGCGGATAAAAATGAGTGTGGTGTGAACGACGTTTGATTTCTTCTAGATTAGATGACGGTCTTTGGAATTACACTGTAATAAAATATCTAATAAAAGGGCCAATATGAGCTTAGCAATGTCTGACGAGTGCCTGCCATCATTAGACATTAACAAACACACAAACACCAGGGAATTCACACAATTTTGGATGTTAATTAGAGGTCTATTGCGAAATTACTGAATACTAGCAAAATCTGCGACTGTTTATAGATTCAGTTGAGTTTCCCGTTAACAACAAATTGATTAGGAGATTTTCCTGTCTTCTGGAAACTCGGGACCTACCGTCTTACCTGATGATCCCCAAGAAGGGTAAAACCGGAGGGTGCCAAAGAATTGTCAGAACTCAAGTTATCGTAGACGTTATAAGACTCAACGGAATAGAAAATGCAAACGAACATTCATTAGGCAATAGTTTGTGAGCTCTCTAAATATTTTACCTAAATTTTAGCACCCTTGATAGTATGTCTTGTTTTTGGTACAGAAAACTATGTGAAAGACGACTTGTGCCTCCCAGAGTTTCACATAACACGATGATATCTGGGATACACAATCTGTGGGTTAGTTTATTCGTGTATTCAATGGCTCGCGAAATTACTGAGGTCGACAAATGCTGCTAAAAGTGTTGCTGAATGCCATCAAGACCGCGCGTGTTTAGTGCGCTAGTGCAGCCCATCAGCCCAGCTAACGCCAGCTTCTTACTGGGTTTGATGATGAGCTTTGTTTCAGAAAAGTTTGGAAAATAATTGATATGTCCACGGCTGTGAAACATTACACTTTCTAAACTAAAAGCTTATTATAGCCAAGTGACTAGGTTATAAGGATGGTCGAATTTCAAGGCATACGGAGAACCTATCAACAGGACATCCTGTGCATGGCTCAGTTCATTTTATTTTTCGTCAGTCACTGTGAGCGAGTATGGATTACACCGTAAGCCCACAGAGTATAAATTACACGAATTCGCGTCAAGTTTGGAGGTCTGACTCTGCGAAGATCACTCAAAATTTTAATGATTTTCTTTGTAATGTACTACTCATGAGGTTGCTGAAAATCCATCGACAGCCCACGACGGGTTTCGCCCTTTTTGGGGCTTATCAGGTGGGCGCAGTCCCCGCGTTTCCATCAAACTTATGTTCTACTTGAAACCAAATTGCACGAAATTAGCTAATATACACTCATTTGCAAACTTTTTTTTTCGAGAGACTCACCTACAACCCAGCTGAATCTCTTGTTTGTGATGTTCTCAGACAACTGAATGTGCTGCACCGGGCCGCCTCATGTTTCAGTCACTACGATATTCGAGATATCGCGATACATGTATAGCTTTGTAATGCACTACTCCTAAGGTTGGTGAGTTAGTGCTACGACAAGCGGGCCAGTGGGAAGGGCTATGTGAGGTTTTCGAGTCTGACCTAAATCAATTTAGTTAATGACTGATAATGGCACACCACCGCTTGTCAGCATGGGTGACTAAAACCGTTTGCCAGTTCTATGCCTCCGCATCCTAAACGTTTTTATACTTGGTGATTTCCACCCTCTCTCTTATCAGTCGCTTTGGGGGGTGGTGGTAGCTTCGCCTCAAAACATCCACGCTCCCTAATTTTGTCACGCACCCTTTGCCAAATGCAAGTTTGTCACCGCCAAATTGCTTACCAGTACTCGATATTCGCTCGAAATTCCTGGTTAATTTTCGCTCTTCTCCGGTGTTCATCACTTCTGACTGTCTGTCCGACATTGAGGTGGCGCCGCCGTAGACTCAGTTATGTGATCTCAAGAATCTTTCGTTCAAGTTATTCGACAATCTTGCGTGCAGTACGTCTCTCCAGGAAAATACACTTCGATATCTCGAGTGCCGTACCAAGTGAAATATGAGATGACCTTTGTGCAATACATTCGGTTGAAGTATACCCTAAGCGAGAGGCTCATTTAAGTCTCCCCTTGGCATCAAAGTAATAGACAAATGTGTTTATTTTGCACTTTGTGTACAAAAAGAGCACAAAACTTACAGATTGTTGCGGACTGTGCTTGCTTTTCGTGTTTTTCAGCAGCCTAATGAGTAGTGTGTTCGGTCTGGACACGACACGTTTTTTTATCATACACCCTAGGTTAGGTGGTGATAATCTAGTTCGGGAAACGTGAAACTGACGTTTTTGACGTAAATCTGTCATTGGTAATGAGAAGGAACGTCTTCAAATTCTGAGTCTACTGGATGTGTAATATATTGCAGTTAAAATGCTGGATGAATAACTCAGACATTTAATGATGCCTAACTCATTTTATGACAAGCTCACTGGGGAATTCACTTATTCTGGAGTCTACCCATTTTAATTCAGATTCCAGTGGCAACCACCACTTTATCGAAACTTTGAGTATGTTCCGCAAATATGGTTTCAATGTACTTCTAAAAAGGTTCCCACTGTAAGGTTGTCTTCAGGAACTCCGACAGCCAGTGACATCATTGTGAAAGCAATTTCCAGATAATAAACGTCTTGGGCCGAAAAGCACTCCGTTTGTACGAAATGGTCATATTGACGGTGTGGGTTATTTGTGGGTAGCTGAGACCACAAGTACAATCAATTTTTGGTTCAAAATGATCCAAGTTGAATGCGGCTAAATACCGAACGCTTAGGTAACGCTGGATCCAAAACGGGCTTGAGAATAAAAGCATCTGGGAAGAAGATTGACCATAGTGACACGTGGCTGGGTACGGGAACCATTACGCAATTTCCCTGATGTTAGTGTGAACGCGCTGTGTATAACTTTGAGGTTTTGATATGTATTCGCAATCCCAAACGCTACTAGCGACAGTTCGGCCAGTATATCATTTCTGATGTAATTGTCTAGTGAGGTAATGCTTATCAACGATGGCGCAATCTCTCATGATTATGATCACGTTATTTGGGCAGGTGGTTGAATTCGGAATTAATCAATGGAATCCGTCAATAGTGCATTACACAGGCCCTCCAAATGCATGATAGTTTGAAACTTCAATACAGTCGATAACAAGTTTATTATGGGAGGACGTGTGAAAAACCAACCTGTCGTACATCGGACTTAAGAGCTTGAGCATTTTTTGATTATAAGTTACTGCAAACAGCTGATAGGCACAACTTTCATATTACCTGGATGGAAGAAAGCTATACTGAGTACAATGTATGGCGGTGTCTAGCTGCCATGCCACCCGAAGGAAGCACGAGGGCTGGGATACTGCCAGGTTGCCCAAGCCTTGATAGGGGGAGTCGAGATCGAGTTCGAACGGACTTTCCGGTCAGTAGACTCGCGCTCTAACCACTTAAGCCACCTCACCCATCTCTTCTACAAGGGATCGTATCAGCCGAAACGATTGACAGATACAAAAACACCCTTTCCTACTGAAACATAACGCCAGGATCGTATAATAATTCGTATATATTTGACAGGAGATTCACCATACCCACAGAGCCAGAAAAATCCGACGTCAGTGCTAACAAAATAGTGCATGGACGAGGAATGAATAGCTGCTTGAAATAAATGTAAATACAAGTGTCAGACAGTTACAGAAGAACAGTTCATCAATGGCGCACAACACTTTCAAGGGTACACGTCAGTTTGGAACGGGGAAATCAGGAAACCAAACACAAGAGGCAAGGGTGGATTGGGAGCGATACTGATGTAGACATCTATCTGTGCACCAACGTTCCAGGGTTGGGTGCATGCAAGCAGCAATCAGATATGTATGTGCTGTTCACAAAAGACCAAAAAGTGCACCAAGACAAGAAATCGGTGGATGGGCAATGCGAGAGGAAACAAAGCTATTTGCAAGATATAAAAGTGGCGAAAGCAATGCGTAGCAGAGTATGTGACATAAATGTACTTGATATGAACACGAGAGGTAATGAATGGTCTGAATGCTGAAAATGATTGCCTAAATGACAGCGCTAAAAGGCTGTGAACGTATGTTCTCAGACTGGACCGGAGGCGAATTGCACATCGAAATATGTATGATTGGAATAGCGGAGGACAGATGAAGCTCAGACGGAGGTGGATAAGGGTAGAAAGATTTTGGCAACATATCACCGGCCTTCCGGTTTCCCTATGGTTGAGTCGTACGCGCGAATAAGATCGGACTGCCGAACAACACCACGTTCCTCCTGTGAAAACGCGTAGCCATCTGAAGCGGAGAGAGCACAGAGAGGAAGCAGGCATGCATAGGTTCGAACGTTGTGTTGTTGGATAGATTAGAAATGATTAGTAAACCGCAACCAGTGACTGGTGGAGTAGGTGTACAAACGAAAGTCAGTGGATCTTGATGGGTGGCAAACACACGGAAACTCATTGGTAAGACAAGATCCTACAGCAACCGGACAACACTTTATTGAAGGTATTAAAACCAATACAAACGGCGCGGCTCTCCACGTACCATGTCGAATAAAAGCTGAAGAGAAAGTGGGAATGAGGTCTGTACGTACAAAAACCCTATCGAATGCAACACGGAAAACTTTTAGAGATAACTGACTTCATATTGAGATCCAGTACTTCCGTTAACTCTTGGAAGACATACATGCTTATCCGTCGATATCTATGATCTTTTCTGTGCCACAAGCTAGTCGTCTTTCCCACTAGCATAGAGAAATCGTCCAGCTGTAACAAACACCCTTCCGCTGCTTAGCTGCTACCTGAACTGAAGGAAGCACGAGGACTGGGTCGCCCAAGCCTAGGCAGCGGAAGTGGAGAGGTAGAGGTCGGGTTCGAGCCACGGACCTTCCGGTCAGTAAATTCAAGCTATATCCACTTGAACCATTTCGCCCCTGTAGCATAGAGTAAAGCCACAGTACAGCGCAACCAAAAAAACAAAGGACTGAGAATGATCCTGGTCAGCTTTTCTAGTAAGCCTCCCCCCGTTCAGAAATGAGCACGTCAACTGCACACTCCTGATAGACAAGGTTCTTCCTGGAACAGACATGAACACCGTCTAGAGCATCCAGAATTGGCCTCATTACGTCGTGAATGACGACAGTAAACAAAAATGGAAAGAGGGCATCCTTGTTGGAAACTTTTGGAGAGCTCCCCATACACTTTCACACGTCCACAAGTATGATATTCACGAAATTGTGGCGCATACCTGTAACACATCGGTGTTGGTCGACAAAAACGGGTGCACTATTGAAGTCAGGAAACAAAAATATTGTACGCACCTATACTCATGCTCTAACACTTGGTGGAGTGTGAAGGTGCGGTCTCTACAACCTTTGCTTAGCACAACCTGATGTTCCCGGATCCTGTCTTTACGCGCCCTTGTAATAAATAGAATAGGGGAAACAAGGAGCACAGTTAAGATCGGGGTTGATCTACTACCTCTGTCGCCGCTAAACTCAGTGCAAGCACCTTTTCTGAAAATGGACACAACTATTATCTCACGCCAGTTGACTGGGACGGTCTCTTCCATCCATATGTGGATAAATAATGACTAAGCATTCTCAAATCAATCCTTAAACATATGGGGTGGGAATTCGTCAGGAAGCTCAGTGACGCTTGAAGGAGAGGAGCAGTCGAAGTTTACAAGCTCACGGTCTGCGGCTCCTTTGCGAGCCAGGAATCCGCCTGAGCAATGGCAGGTACCCAGCTGAATTATTGCTCGAGATTTAAACGTTCGTTTTCATCGATGAGTGTTTCAATCACCAAAAGCCCTTTTGAGCTTGTTGTGCGTACCAGGTGGGACCCATTTTCGTAGGGTCCGCACAGTTCCTCCATTTCTCCGGCTATTTAAGCCCACCAAGCTTTCCAGAGCACGCAGATACAAGCACGAGCACCCTGTTGTCTGCCTTATTCCGGGGTGCGCGCAGGTGCGATGAGCGTCAAGCATTTCCAAGTTCATCAGGCTTTTCTTTAGTTCACAGTCCTGCACTACTGGAGCGACTTGCTGAGCTGAGCCGCGATAGGAATTGTGTTGCAGTGCATTTTGTTGAAGTCCGGCTGTACGCAAGAACGTGTTAAGGTGCCATACTGAACAAGGACAGATGAAGGAGCAATGTGATAAACAGTACGGTATCACAGTGCCAGAAAAGTAAAACCACTCACGGTCCGATTGACCGACCGTCTGAGGACCGGAGAGTGTTCGTGTACGTTCAACAGTTGCTCCTGGACATAGGTTAAGTAGCGCCTCCGAACCCCTTGTACGGCGGAAAGCTCGCAATATGCCCGATTTTTTCACAACTCTGAAAGCCAGAGAGAAAAATTAGCCAGATGGGATGAGCTTGATATGAACAGAAAGCCAGTTTGGTGCGAGAGTGGAGAGCAAACTATCTTAGTTGGAAGTTGAACAACACTCTGTGAAACCAACCAAAAGGAACTGAGAACTTACGAAAGTACATCTTCTAAAACACTGTAATTTGCCATAAAATAAACACTTTGTGGGGTACGTAAGCTCAGTAGAAAAGTAAAGTGACATATGGAGAATGAAAGTGCTAGAATAAGTTGGTACCGTGCAACTTGAGAGTTTATGATACACCCAGTGAATATTTCGATTGTTTTGGATTTTCCTACTAAGAATACCTTTAAAAGAAAGAAGGGGAGAAGCAACTTCGCACCATTCAAAATAATTCGTACAACCTTTGTATGTATTTTAGTGTGCCACATAGTATGGAAACCCGTCTTCCTTGCTTCATTAAGTGCTTCAAAGCACCGATAACTGCTAAAGATGATTAGCACCGAGAAGCATTCTTCAAATGACAGACTACTAAACAGTGGTGGCCTCGAAGGCCTCATAGATTATTCAGAGCCTAAATAACAGAAAGGGAACCCCCCAAACGTTTTACAAGCACAGACAGAACAGTAAAGGTTACATATGTGCCACAGAATGGAAGGAAACTCTGTTCCATCGGAACGAATAACAATCCCACAATTTTGATTGAAAGGCAAAATATGACAAATATGCCAAAATAACGTTGCTTGCAGGCGCTTCAGGATTAGTTTATTAGGTATTCACACCATTACAGTTTGAACAGTCCTCCATCCAACCATTCTATTTTATCCACAATCATTTGCAATCTCAAACTTCCACAAACTACCTGCCAGTCTATTGGTTATCGTCCAGTTGTGTTTGGAGCGCGCAACATTTGAGTTTGTCCCGTTGGGGAACACGGTGGTCGCACCGACCAGAGAAAAGTAGGGGTTTATGAGGCAAACGGCAATCTTGACTAATGGTATACACAAAGCACTGAGGTGACAATATAGGATATTATGATAGAAAATTAACAATGGATACACTTGAGACTCTACTGATCAGACCACAGTGAAAGTACGGCTTTGGACACCGTTGAACAGGAGTCACAGAAAAATGGAGTTAGTCCCAGAGTAAACAAGAGGTTCTCATTAGCACGTAGTCCATCGCATTTTCTTGGTTTCTGTCCATTCAGAAATGGTCAGTGAATCAACTGGCGAATCAACCTTGCTCTGGTTGAGGATGCCAAAGACGGTCATTTTTACTAGATATCAGTCGCAAAGTAACAACAGACGAAAGTAGGTGCCCATGCAGACCGATCTCAACAAAATGCGGTAGGAGAGCAAAATTTCCACAAAGGAACTTGGAGGAGGCTTGAATCCTACATGAAATTGGACAAGTGGTTCGCACTGCAACCAGCGTGTCCTCGGGATAGCTGGTGAATTCAACGGCGCATTTTTCTCGGGCGGTTTCACTGTGAGCACCTATTGTTTGTTTAAACATCTTGCTTTAGATAGTACATGACTGCTACCAAGCTACAAATTGATTTAAGACGAGTTGTGCTCCTCACAGTTCCCCCCTGAGACTTTCGCAAGCTGACTTCTCAGTGAGCAGCCACGAGAAGCTTTCAAGAGAAAGACGTTATGAGCCACTGCGTTGCCGGTCATGGTACAACAGGGCCTCGGGTCTAAACTACATTGGTAAGTTACAAAGGGTGGGAAGGAAAAATTGGCTAGGTGTGAATGTCCCCAAATGTTCACCTGGCCTGTGGACTAATGGGGCGCTTGTCCGTAAATCGACGGCGGTATAAGCCTTGTCGACAGCATAAGTTCCTGACTGTCTGCTGCCAAACAGTTAGCGTATGTATGAGAAAACACATTTTGAGAGCGAAAAAATGTTTTCAACTTCGAATTATTGATGGACAGACTTGAGGTCCGTCTACAACAGAGCCAGAAGATAGCAGATGTAAGGAAACTGGGGTTTCTAATGTTAGATATACATGAGTTTCATAAATATATAGGCTCATCAAACGAATGTTTGCAGAGAAAAACATTGGCTTATGCAGTGTTGAGTAAGTTCCCTTAGGAAGGGGTAAGTCGCCATTTGATCTCCTCTATACTCGGGAAGAGACGTTTCCTTACACGCACTACATACTGAAGATATCAATCATTTAAGTTTTGAAATAAACACCGTATCTGGCAATGACTTTTCAATGTACACAACGTACACAATTGCTCGATCACTCTGACTCCGCTTGACATTATTCACGACCTCTTGACGGAAACACACAAGTTCGTGGAGGCGCTATCGATGAAGGCACGCTACTGAGGTTTCACAGATTGAAAAAATAATGTGAGACTCGCTGAACCACATCTGTCATGGCTTCACTTGTTTATGGCTCTACCTAGCTAGCAAGTCCAAGATCACAGCCGAAACCGTCAACCAATTCCGTGGTGATGGTTGTTTTGTGTGGGTTTGAGTTTGGTTGCTGGTCAGTTCGCCGAGTTCATCAGTTGGATTGATCGATATTAGGCATCGATCAGCGGAACATTTTGCTTGCATGATTAATTCACTGAATTACGAAATTATTACATGCTAAGCGTTCCTGAATTGTCACACAAAAAGGATGTTACAACCCACTGTGAACCAAAAACAAATTTGGTGTAGCTGTCACCTTTTTTTGGTATTGCTTAGAAAGGTGCCTCCCGCAGAGGAGCAGTATTGGAAACAAGTTTAGCCTAACAGTGTGACTGTCTCTGACTGGTTGGCTTCTGACTTGGTGGGAGTCGCGTACGAGTCCACCAAATAAACGACAAAAATGGACCTCCTGAAGCAAAAAATATTGAACGGAGAAAGGGCTGTGGACTTTTTCTAAACGCAATGAAAGAGGTTCTCACAACCGTCGGTCTCAAAGAATTTACATCAGGTCCAATGTATCATTTTCGTTTGTTACCTAATTGCTCCTCTAAATCATGAAACTCTTCTCTGAGAAATTCCAAGTTGCGGACCCATGACTGGGATTAGGATATGTGCCTTGGAACACAGTTAATACTTTTCAACGCACACCCTTTCGCTGGTAAATTGTTGTATTCAGTTGCAGTTGGACAGCTTGCCTCCTCTGCCGAAGACTATGCTGTCTACTTGTGGGGCAATCAATAACAGTAAGAAAAACTAATTTTTCATCACGAATGAAGACGGCGTACACAGAAAGAAAGAGAATCTACCGTCGCAGTTCCCTGATACGAGGTAAAACACAAAGTTTAACAATCAAATACAATGTTGCGTTTTTCTTGTCCCCACAGTGTTTGATAGGCATGCAGCTCCGGTGATAGTGTAACAAACAAACAAAAGCATAGATCTACCGTGCCCAAATGTTGTTCTAAGTTTTAGCATACAAACTGTATGCAGTTGACAGTGGGCACCAACCACACTAGGATTGTTTAGGAGAACCGTTGATCCAGCAAAACCGTAATTTCGCGGTCAGGCTCGATTAGAAAGCAGAAAACGATGTGGCGAAATCAGATCATGCATACGAAAGAATGGGGTCTACCTACTTTGACTTCAGGCTGGCTCTGATCATACTCCCAGGATCCACATGCATTTGTTCCATCTGCATGACTTGTTCGCGTAATGACCCGGCGAAGCTACGTTTGGCCCTGAAATGATAGGAATGGAAACAGAATGAACCACTGCGGCAGCTGTTCATTTCTCAATGACAAAGACACCCTGATTTTGTCCGTCTTACAACGTTACATAATATCATCGTAGGTATTCTACGATGCTGATTGTCCGACTAGAAACGAACCGGTAGTAATCCAGAAAAGAAAAAGGGCATAGCGGTACGGAATCGGTATAATGGTCGGGAAGTAGGACATCATTACCCAGAGCGACCATGTTAATATCCAAACATCTTTCATCATTTGTCGCCACTCAAAAAGTTACATCTAACAATTCTTTACCTGTATTTTCAAAATTATTCCGTTAGGAAGAATTCTATTCTCCGGAGGAGAAATGTATGTCGTAGATTTGGGTTAAACTGTTACTAAAAAACCCACAAAAGTGTCGAATTAACCGAAATCACTGCAATCTCTAGGCTGAAGTGTCAGACAGGAACTTCAACACCAATGATCCAGCAGAAGTAACATCCAGTTCCAGTTTCCCGCAAGCGATGAAATAACAAAAAACGTCACTTTGTAATAAGTTCATCATAGAGTTACAGACACATCACAATGCTTAAGATGGTTCCAAAATCTGTTGATATTGGAATCCTTTGAGCTCCTAAAAAACGAAACAAATAAGGAGCGAAATAAGGCCTCATCAACTCATGGTCAATTGAACACAACAATGATCCATTCAGTCAGTATTACCGCGTCAGCGTTTGCGTTGATCCTATGCTCAGAACTTCTTCTGTGAAGTAGCCACACCCAAACAGTCTCTAGGGGATTTTATACCGTGAGACTAAGGAAGGTTCCGGTTCCCCCAGTCAAATTCTTGGGTTTGCTAGCGCTTATGTTCTCTTCCACTAGCCTTACTCTTTTCCTGTCCACCTCTTGGGATTCCATAAGGTTACTGCCGGGGCGCCAAACGG